TTAAAGAAGAATGAGACTTTACCGATTCAATCTGTAACAGCGTTGCAACAACATCTTTCTGAAACTGGTAAGCCTGTTCATAGCTTAACTCTTCGAACTTGACACCACCACCCAGCAGTATTGTCGCTGTTTCTGAGACCGTATAAACTTTCCAACCCATATTTTCAAAAAATGTCCTTAGACGACTCTGAAAACAACAATTTTGTTTGTGGCTTATTATATAGTCAATCAAAGATCTATAACTACACCAATAAGTAACTGCTTTATAAAAACAGCTTTTTTTAATTAAATTGTCATTCTCAATACACTCTCTTCTTTTTATTTCATTCACTAGTAGATAGTAAAAATTCCTATAAAACTTTAATATTCAACTAATATGCTCAATCGACATTCTTTTTTTTATACCTATAACTTTTGCTATCCTTATAATCATATATCGGTAAATTCTTTTTCTCTTCGATTTTTATACGGCTTTCTAAAAAGATTTCAATGAATTATATGTATTTTTTAAATTTTCTTCTTCTTTTTTTGAGCAACTAATCAAATATTAACCTGTCCAGTAGTTTTACCTCCGCATGGTCCACCGGTTAACACCACTTTATATATTCTCGGCTTGTCTTCTGAATGACCCATTTCAAAAGCGCCCAAACCAGACGTTAATAGTTTACAAGTATTTACAGATAAAAATGGGTCAGATGGTAATTGTATGAATAATTGGTCCTGTCGTAAATCTGAATCCTTCTTTTGCTTCTTCTTCTTCTTCTTCTTCTGTTGCTGCTGCTGATTAAGGTTGTTTTGGATATTAACTATAAGGGGCGAATCCCGTACCTTGACACCGTTGGAGCCTGAACTAAGCCTCTTTTGAGGCACCGAGTTTCGCTTTTCCTGACCTTTCGGTAGGGAAAATAGAATGCTACCGTTTGTCACCTTCGTCTTCTTTCGAATATGTGAAACTTGTGAAGAGTTGTCGACTCTGAGATATTCTGAAAAAAAGAAAAGATTATATATAACTACAAATAATTAATTTAGTTTTTTTCCTTCAAACTTTAAATCAAATTTTGTGTAAAAAAAAAATGTTCTTTTACTAATTTTAGTAATAGCAATTGAACACTTAAACAAGTTAGAAAATATCTAAATCTTATTAAAATAAAAATTTTTTTTTTGAAAGTTGCTGATCAAAAGTTAATTGAATTGCCGAGTTACAAAATGAGTTTAAAAATTTAGTTAAATAGACGCCAATATCGCCCAGTAAATTTTTAAATCAACTTATTTTTCTTGTTCACAAATCTTCACTTTCTTTACCTTTTTAAAAAAAAAAACTACTTTTGAACTTGTCTGTCAGTCCGTATTTCTCTTTTTTTTTGGGTTAGGAAAAGTTATGATTAGATTAACTTAAAATTGAAAAGAGCAACAGAACAAAATGATAGAAGTATCAACATAGAGGCATAAAACTACAAAAATATTATTTGTAAATTTAGAAACTTTATTTTAAACAAAAGCATTACAGTTTTACAAAATTTTACTGAAATATCTAAGAATTCTGTTTGTTGTAGAAAAGTATATACCGTTTAAAAAAATTCGGTGAATAATTGAAACAAAAAAAAAAA